GCATTGTAGATATTCTCCACCATGAGGATTATATCCTGTAGTTTTCTTGGCAAGATTTCTTGAATGGCCATTTCTTGTTTCATAGCCTTGAGAGAGAGGGATTAGTCCAAAGTCCTCCAGCTGGCTTTGTGCCTTAGGTACAATGAATTCATGGTCTTTTGGTTCCTCACCTAATGCCTTAAGCACCCCACTAAACTGGCTCTCTCTAGGTTATTTCTCAGTTAAAATATAATATATCTATTAGGGTAAGTCCAGAAAATTGAACAAAACAAAAATCAAAACAGAGATTTTGGAGAAAAATATCTTACAAGACACTGCATTAGCAGAACACAGTTGCCTTTCAAAATCCAGTGTGAGATTTTGCTTGTACCATTGTTTGCTTTTATCAAGGAATCATTAAAATGTTTACCCCTCCCTCCCCCACTTTCGTATCCTATTGTCTCAGGAAACAGCTCTCTGTAGGAGCTTTTAGCTCTACACTTGAGGTTTTCCACCATTCCTTTCTTTCATAGAACTCTGTACATTTCATTCATAAAATCCAATCTTTCATTTTAATCATATGATATATGCTCCTTATATCCTAGTAGTCTAAGGAGGTGATGCTTCATACCATGAATTACAGAGAGGAGACAGAGTCTGTATGTTTTGCCATCTTTAGGAGAAATAGTATTCTTTGGGAATCATTTTTCTTTCGAAAAGAACTATTATTGGCAAATCAACTTGCACCATGGCCCGTGAAGCGGCTCAGGAATAATTTACTATTAGTAAAGTTTGTAAAAGACCAATCCAAGTGCTCTTAAGAGGCAGAATCCTTATTGAGTTCAGGAGTGCTAAAGCAAGAATTATTAAGTGGAGGCTATCTGATTTCATTGGAGGATGCCAATTTTGAAAAAGCAAAGGGATGATCCTGTGAAGAACTTGCAAGTTGGGTACAAAAAGGGAGATTTGGGTATAACACAATTGTACAATGAATGCATTGCACTGCAGTTTATGCTTTTGGAACTGTTCAGAAATATACCTCAATGTGGTAAAGTCCTGTGTTTTTCACATAGAAGAACCAAGAATCCGGAGGAATATTTGTTAGAAGTTATTTAGTTGCAAGTAATGTTCCATAATAAACTGAATTATCATAGGATTTTCCCACCCATGTGGTCATTGTACTTATTTTAAGTGAAAGAGCTTGTAAAGTATACAACAAGCCCCTCTCCTTGAATGGACAAAGGTATTATTTAAAATAGTATATTCCAGTCCTGGCAACTTTATGTTGTGTGGACTTCAATTCCCAGAATTCCCTAGTGCACATGGGCATTGCTTAGAATTTTAGGAACTAGAGCAAGCACATCTTAAAGTTGCAATGACTGGGAAACATTGTCTGGAAGGGTTCATCACATGCAACAGTATGAATGTTTTGCATATAATTTAAGTGGGAGTGAGGGTTTTTAAGAGGACAAATTGACAAAATGATTGCACCGGAATCCTCTTAGAGACTCAAACGTAAGTTTCTGGGGAAATTGGTCCTAGATTTAGAATAGAAGATATGTGTTGCAAAGACTATGTTGATGGTATTTAGCAGCAGTCCAATTTGGCAATCAATCAGTTACAAAATGCGTTAGAGTAGCCTAGGTATCTAGATGCAGAATGGGAGCAGGCCAAGGATGACTTGGGAATGGGAACTAGGAGATAATGTTAAGACCACTGGCTTCTTCTGCTGGTCAGAAGAAGCCAGTAGAAGCCAGTATCAGCAGAAGAAGCCAGCGGACTATGAGAGACTGCTAGAGCAGTCTGCTAGAGAGAGTACTAAGAGCCACAGCAATGGAGGCAAAAGGAAGAAAGACCAGGTGACCCAGAGAATTGTATCAAGAAAAGGCAACCCATGAAAAATAGCTTCTAATATAGACCATCAGGAGTTAGCATAAATGAAAGTCCATGAAGGGAAACCTGGCTGAGTAGAGCACAAAGGCATTAAAGTGCTCCAGGTGGAAGGCACCAAGGCAAGTATCAATAGCCTGGGCAGAAGGTTACCAAAATGCCAACCCTCACAGCAGTAGTTTGAAGTGAGGGAAACTTTGGAAGGACTCAAAGTTCTGGGTACAGGAAAAGTGTCGAGCAACACCAGTTCTGGCACAAACTGGCCAGTTGCAAAGAGCCAGCTGGCAGCAGAGAGCAGCTTCAATTTCAATAGCAGTGACTGCTAGTGGGGAAGACAGTTGGAGATGTGAGGCCAGAGGCCAGGAGAAAAGAACATAGGATAGGATAAAAATCCTATCCGGAAAAAACAGAGAACAAAGTTCTAAGATGGAATTGATATGTACTAATTACAGGAACTATAGAGATTCTAGAAAGGAGGGAAAAAAAGCCTATAGAAATTTTAGAGTAGGTAAACAGAAATCTTAGATTAAACAAGAATACTCTTTAAAATAAGGCATTCATCAAGAAAGTAGGATATACAGGTAATCCTCAATTTATAACCATTCATTTAGTGACCAATTGAATTTACCACAACGCTAAAAAGTCACCTACAACTGGTCCTCGCATTTATGAACATTACAACATCCCCATGGTCACATGATCAAAATTTGGGCATTAGAAACCAGCATGTATTTTCGATAATTGCAGCACCCTGAGGTCATGTGATTGTCCTTTATGACCTTCTCAGACAGTATCCAATAAGCAAAGTCAATGGGGGAAGCAGGATTTGCTTAATGACCACATGATTCACTTAACCATTGTGACAAAAAAGGTTATAAAATTGGGCAAGACTCACTTAACAACTACCTTGCTTAGCAACAGAAATTCTGATCCCAATTGTGGTCACAGGTTGAGAACTCCCTATAAAAAAGAGATATCAAAAGAAAAAATATGAGGGTGAAGGTTCATTCTCCAAGCTTGTGGGTTGGTGTCTGAAAGTTTCGTTACCAGGCTAGGTAACATCTTCAGTGGAATTTAGGGGATGTCAGTATCAATGTTCTTCTGTTCATAAGAGCTTCATGTCCCTTATAAACAGAAGAATACTGACAGCCCTAACTCTGCTGAAGACGTTACCTAGCGTGGTAATGAAACGTTAGGACACTAACCCACAAGCTCGGAGAACGAACCTCCATCCTCATCCTACACCAGAGCTACAGATATTCGCTACTATTGAAGAAAAAAATATATAGGTCTGAGGAAATAAACAGAAAAACAGTGAAACTACTGTGTAAGATTATAGGCAGAGTAAATAAAGAGAATTGATAAACAGAGTGATACACAATAATTGATGGGAATAATAGAATACTGTATATAGGAGAGGTAAGAGAGTAGCCCATGATAAAACAGGAAAAAAATTTCACTTTTATTTTCTTATATTCTTCTTATATGTTGAACGTGCACGTCCTGTCTGCCTTTACACTATAGCTGAACCAATGACAATATCCCAAGAATTTATACGGATGAGACTATGATAGCACTATAAATCAGGACATATAAGAAAACCAGAGGAAATTCTGTAGAGAAGTGTTTAATGGGAGAAAAAAAAAAGACACCCAATTTTCAGAGTTACAATAAATGAAGTGTTATAATAAAAGACATTTACAGTATTAAGAAAGGGAAGAAAATTGATATCCACTAAAATAGCTTAATAATCCCCTGAGGACTAAGAGTACACTGAGAGCATATGCACCCAGACAAATTCCTTGTGTGTCCAATCACACTTGGCCAATAAAAAAAAATTCTATTCTATTCTAAATGAAGACATTTAATATGTCAATTGTTTTTCACAGCCTGCACCCCATCCTCCCAACTTCTCCTAAGTATTTACCACAAGAAAATGGTTATCTGTACTTTTCCCCAGGCTTATTATTTTGTTCAGCCAGATATATTAAATTCATTTCTCCTTGAAAAATAGAACACTTTTTCATTGACTTAAAAAAAAATCCTTAACATTAAAACAGCTGTTCCTTTTCAAGGCAAGTTTGCTAAGTAAGATAAAAGTACTGCCTAAAATAAACCTTTTATCTCTTGCTTTATTCTTAATTAGAAAAAGAACAAAACTATGGAACTATTGTAGAAATTGTGGGTTTGGATTGTTTTATATGATAATAAAAATATAATAACAAAAAATGAAACAAAAGATGTTTTGGAAGCGTCGGTTTAACCAGTTTAGCTTTTTCATTCTTAAAGGTGGATTGTTTTTTTTTTTTCCTTTGTAAAAATACTGGCGTGAATCAGCTTTACGTTCTTCTACAAGTAGAATAAAATACTCATTCTAAAATGGGTCTCTTTTATATTTTATGACAATTATGTGAAAATGTTTTTCCAGGGATGAAATTGCATCAATCATTAATATTACTTGCTTTTCAAAAAAAACGTGCTTGGAGCTCTAACACAAGATTATTTCCTACTAGCATTTGAGTGAGTCTCTTCACCCTCCTCACCTCCCGCCATTTTCTGTTTGGGTTTGAGTGCTTGTATCCTTTCCCCCCCCGCCTTCTGTTCAACACACGTGAATTAGTAGGTTGCCTGTTCACACTTTGGCAGGCAAAGCCCGAGTCCTAGGAGATGCTTTCTTGGGAGTGAGACAGTCTGTCGCTCCCGAATATAGGAGCGGGTCGTGACTGGAAACAGAAGAGAAAGCGTGTATATATATATATATATATATATATATATATATATATATCTTTTAACGCAAAGGGTGTGCGAGGCAGTCACAAGGGGCTTCGTGGAAAAGACCAGACTGCGAGACATTCCCCCCCCCACCCCGCACGCCTCAAAAGCACCGCAAAACAGAACGCCTTCCCCCCCTCCCCACGATCCTACGCGTGTGGGCGGGTCGCGTCGCGCGGGGGAGGGAGGGTGCGGTGCCCCTTCGTCCCTGCAGGGGGCGAGGCGGGGCGGCTTTGGCGGCGCCTGGATTTGCGCCGGGAGGAAATGATGTGCTTGCCGCCTGGCTCATTCCAGCTCCTGAAGCCCATTGGCAGAAGAGGGAGCAGCCACTTCCTCCTCTCTCTCTCTCTCTCTCTCTCTCTCTCTCTTACTGCAGCTGGATTCCCGGCTGAGTAGCCCCACCTCCTCCTCCTCTCCTCCTCCTCCTCCTCCTCCCGCCGGAGTCTGCCTTGTCTCGGCTCGCCCGGCTGCTCTCTGGAACTTTGCGCTCGGCTCGCCTTCCCTTCTGCCAACTTTTCCCCGTCGCCGCTCGACGGGAACTTCTTCTCCCGCCTTGGCCGCCAAGGAGAGCCCAGATCCCGCCGGAGGTGGGAGGCGGCCCGCTGGGGAGATGCGGTCGGGGAGTGATTAGAGCGCGGGGCTCCGGGTTTGCTCGCCGCCGCCGCCGCCGCCAGCGCTGCAGCAACTTGGAGCGGAGCGGTGGTCGGCGCCGCTGCGGCAGATCGGCGGAGGAGAAATTCTTGCTGCTGTTTCTGCTCCTCCTTTTAACTGCGCCTGAAGCTCCCGCGCCGCCCGCTCGGCTGCTTTTGCCTTTGTCTGTTAACAGTGCGAGAGGTGAGTGGATCTCCCTGTCTGGGAGAGAAATCGCCCTCTTGGCCGCCATCTCCCCCCCCCCCATTGCCTCCAAATGTTGGGCAGCTTTCTCTCTCCTCCGGGTCTTAAAAAGAGGGGCTTTCCCCACCGCCACCCCCCCCCTCTTCCTCTTCGGGACACAACCTGCCTTTCCAAACGGGGGAGGGCGGGCGGTGGCTATTTTTTGTGGTTTAACCTTGCTCTTAAATTCGTCTCCTCTCCGCCCACCTTTCTTGTCTGGACGGAAAATCCTTTTTTTAATAAATATATTTTTTTATATAAAAGGCACACAGCGATTGGAAAGGGAATCCGTGTGGGTTGCTCCCAAAAAAAACCCCCAAAACCCAGCTCTCAGACATAGGCGTTTCGGACGTGCCTCTACAGTTCTCCGAACCTCCCCCCCCCCCAAAAGAGCTAGTAAGCTAATGCTGCATCTGTATGTCCTGCTTCCAGCGGTGGCTTTGGAAAACTTAGGAGATGAAGAGATGGAGGGGGCGGGGGAAAGAGAGACATCTTTTAATCGCTTCAGGGAGGCCGCCTTCCCTGAAAGTGGGGTGTGTGTGGGGGGGGGGGGGGGAGAGGCTGTGTAGAGAGGAAAGAGAATCTGTATAAACTTTCCTTGGCTCCCTCTGGCTGGCTGCAGTCTTCAGGAGCATCAAAGGAAGGAATGCCCACAGGGCAGCTGTGGTTACAGATGTTACTCATTACCCTGCCAAGTATGAGCCCGCCCCTCTGCGCTGTAACTCTTGTAGGGAAGAGGGGTTTGTTTGGGAAAGTCAGCAGTACAAAATGCAAAGATGATGGATAGTTTTGATGGGAAGGAAGGAAGCCTTGTTACACAACACCTGTCTGTGCCTATAAAGGATGGGGGAAAGGGAGAAAAGTTGGGGCTGTTGTTCGTTTGCTTGGATTCTCATTTCTCGATGTCTGGCTATGCAATTGTCATTAAAAAAAAGTTGGAATGTGACTAGCACACTTGGCTTACCCTCTCGTGGGGCTGACCGATTTTTCAAACGGCAGAGCCTATGAAGGACATTTAATCGGTTCTCTGAAGTTCGTTTTTTGTTGAAATAGCCCTTTGTTGAAAGCCGTTTTGATTGCTGTCTTCAGGCTACAAACACATGCTTTTCAACTTGTTAAAAGAAATAGTTATGCCAGCATGAGGATTGGCAGAATCCTTTTCTAGCATTCCTTCATTTAAACCGAGATCTGAAATACTTTCGATCTCAAGAGAAATAACTGCAAGTTCTGAAGGCTTCATAGTAGTGGGATTCACACATTCACATCACACAGTGCAAAGATGTAGAATGCTTGGGTTTGGTTTAGTGGATGATACGTATTCCAGGGGGCACAATGGCTCAGTAGTTAAAGACGATGTTGAGCTTCTCAGTTGGAAAGCTGTTCAAGACCCGAGTGCAGCATACATTGGGGTGAGTTCCCATTACTTGCCTCAGCTCCTGCCCATCTAGTAGCTCGAAAGCATGTAAACGTGAGCAGATGAATAGGTACCACTCTGGAGGGAAGGTAACAACATTCTATGCACCTCAATGTATAATCATGCTGGCCACATGACCATGGAAAAGTCTTCCCGTACAATGTTGGCTCCCTCAGCCAAGAAATGGTGATGACCACCACTCCCTAGAGTCAGATACGATTGGACAGGGGAAAACCTTTACCTTTATCCATCCATCCATTTTGGCTATAACTATTGCTTATAATATGTGAACAAGGACATTCAGTAAATTGGGGGGGGGCATCCCCTGACCCCTATTTGTAATAATAGCTAACAGTTTTGTGTAATGGTTAAGGCAGCAGACTCGAAACCGATAGATCCATGAGTTCTAGATCTGCCTTAGGTGCAAAGCCAGCTCTCTAATAGGAAGGAGGCCATGACAAGCCACTTCTGAAATTTTGCCAAGGAAGTTGCAGGGACTTGTCTAGGCAGTCACTAGGAGTCAACACTAATCTGAAGACACACTACCACTCACCACCACCCACCACCACCACCACACAAATTATTATGCATTGGCCACTAGCAGTTGATCTGCCTTTTCAGAAGAACATAAAATTGTGTGTGTGTGCGCGCATGTATATTTGTGGGAGTGTATTCATATTTACATGTTATTCCAAATGTTCCAGACACCTGGAATAAAAAAGCTCTCCCTCTTCTAGTAGTCCATGTGTTTGCATAGTAAACAGTGACTGATATGTTATGGTATGTGTTCTTGGAAGCAACAGCTCCTTTTTGTCAAGCACACTTCATGCTGACTTACAACAATTGTCTTCAAAACTGCCAGGGTATGTATATCATTATGGCATTTTTCCTCTACCTTGATTTTTAGAAGGGCTCACTAATTTTCTTTTTGCAAGTCTTACATTTTAAAGAGCAGTAATAATCTCTAATCGTAATGAAGGAGAACTTGACATAGTTTATTTGTACGTTTGTCAAAAAGCTAGTCTTGGGTAAAACTTAACCTGTTTCCCCAGCAAATAAACATGGAAATGAGCGTGGATGTTAGCATAACAGAGTGGCAACTGGCACTCCCTCTTCCCTGTACATTATTCAGATTGCAATGGTCTAAATTTGAAACCAGTTTTATCTTCTTCAGGTTTAAGTACAGAATTGAGTAAGCCCTAGTAAACATTACTACCTATGTGGATTTATACGTATAACTAAATCTGGTTCTGAATTGGAAGTTTTGTTTTCAAGTAGCTGTCTATTTCAAGTCTTTTGCTAAGCTTCATGTTATTGGTCTCACACTGACCTGCTTTCTTGAAGTTGTGGAAATGTTGAAAGGCTGGATTGCACAGCCATCAGTCTTGGTTAGTGCAAGTTTTAGCTGAGCAAAAGATTCTCTCTCCCCTTTGAACTGTATGGTGGGGTGTAGGAATTTAGGCAAGAAATTTAGGCTTGCTGTGAATTAGGACTAGCCTCATATTTGGTTTTATGGGAAATTGCATTTCTTTTACTTGGGAAGTGAATAGAAATAGTTTGTCTCTCTAATATTGCTTAACACATTGGGAAGAGACCATTTTGGGTGAAGTCATTTGAGAGGAACATCCTTAGACACATAGAATTCAAATCTATATATACAGAATGATCTAAGACCAACACACATATCCTCCCAAAACAAAGTGTATTCTGACCATTCTAAAGGTTATGAATTTCCATCAGTTCTGAATGTTTCTTTTTCTTTTCCATCTCTTGTTCTAGTTTAAAAGTGAGGGGAACATTTTGTTGACATAAACAATAAACAAATGCTCTCTCTGTGCATGTGTGTGTAGGTGGAGGATATATAAAGTGCTCCTTACTCTTAGCATTGTTTTGTGTATGGTGGGAACATCATTAGCTTCTGGACAAAAAATTGAGGACATTCTTGTCTTCTACCTTAAGTGCAGGGGTGTCAAACTTAAGGCCCGGGGGCCGCATCCGGCCAACCGGTTGCTTAGATCTGGCCTGTGGGGTTGCCCTGGAAACAATGAAGGGCCAACCCGCGGTGTCTCTGCCAGAGAAAAATTTTGACCCTATTTTTGACCCTCCCAAGCTGTTTTGGCTGGCAGATCGCTTGGGCCACCACAGGCACCCACGACATGAGTGACGTCGAGCTGGTGATGCCCACCCTGGCCCTGCTCACCCGCCCTCCCCCCCAGGTCAAACAATCCTGATGCGGCCCTCAATGAAATCAAGTTTGACACCCCTGCCTTAGTGGCTTTCAAAAAATTTGTCTAAAACTGCTGCCTTTGCTAAACACTTTAATGTATCAATCAGTTGCTACGGAATGTAATTTGAGTCTTACTTTGTAGGTTGATGGGTTTTATTTTATATATTTATTTTTGTATTTATGTGTTGGAACTGACTTGCTCAGAAAAGTTCTGAGTTTTTTGCCTGATGGTTTTGAAGATCACATGACAAAAGAAAATACACATACAGATGTATATTATTTATATGCTGCATATTTTCATTTGGGTTACTCTTACATAAAAGGAAAGTCATCTAGTGCTAATAAGATGAATTGTGTGAATTAAGAATTCAAATTCCAAAACAGCTAGCTTTAGGGTTCCAAGCACGGAACAAAACAACCATATTCTGGAATTGTTGGGCCCTGAGTTCAGATCAAATGGGATATATTGTTCTATATTGCCTGGAGTGTCCCTGTAGCTTGCAGTTAGCTTCTGTTTTTAAAATTCTTCTAAGCTATGAAGACTTTTAAGACCACAGTCAATAAAATAGCAGAACTGAGTTCTCTCCCTCCTGCTGCTACCATTTAAATGTGGCTGAGTAGAGAAAGGTTGGTAATGTGACTCCTACTGTAAGGAGGTAGGTAAATTTTGAAAGTCTTTGGAACAGAAAATTTAGAGGTCATGGCTTATATATAGTCTTTTTCTCTGTAGTTGTGTCTTTTTCAGGTAGATTGTTATGGTCTGTGCTTTACGGAAAGGGTACCTGTGCTGGTAAGCTTTCAGGCATTTGGGGTATGCTGCTTTGTCTGAAGTTGTCTGTATTTGCTGAATGCAGAAATGTTATAGTGACTATGCATTAGGAAGAAAGTTACGGCCATGGCAATTTTTCCCCCTACTGTTAAATTGTGTTGGGGTTGTGCTGGAGTGATTCTATTATGTTTTCTTTTTGCTGGGCTAATTTCTGTGATTATTTGTGCAGACAGGCTATAAAAGGATATACCCAACTTGTTTACTCTAGGAATGTTTAAATATTTACAGTCCTTTGAAAAAAAACCTTTAGTCAATGTAGTTATAGTTTGAGCAGTAGACAGCAATCAGCATGGGCTGCTGTTTCACTTACTTTTATGACCCGATGATGAAAAATAAGAGGCTTATTTTATGTTGCCATTGTTCCCTGTGGCAGAGCACTTAAAATGTTTCAGGTTTTGTTCTGTGGGATCACAAAACACTTCAAAATGTTTCACTGGAACATTCAAACTCCCTTGTTACAAGTTTGTACCACCCCCCCTCCCCGTTTTATA